TGCTTAACTTTTTTCCAGGTGTATATAATGAATTAAACTATTTTTTCAATAACGATTGCTACAGGCTTACCTTCATCTGTAGGCTTGATGTCACAAACAATGTTACAAATATATGAATAATTTACTTATAAACTTACTTGCAGAATTTTCTCGCTAATTGATTTATAACAAATACCCTTACTAATTGAATCACAGAGAACTAGACACAATAACTTTCACTGTCTAACTTCGCTGTAGGCAAGTTTGGGTTTCTATTAGTGGCTATAGGGGAAGAAGGCTGTTTGTTACAGATCACACAAAACTGGTGAAAATTAATGAGAAACTCTATAATGAGATAAAGAATTCTGCTATTAATGAGGTCATTATTATAGATGATTTCAATTTTATGCCCACAGACTGGGAAATGTAGAGTTAAACCATGAGGAAGAAAGGATTTTAGATACCGTTCTGGATGATTTTCTTCACTATCCAGCCAAGAAACCTACTAGGAACAATGCTATTTTATATTTATTGTTAATTTATAATAAGTATATGGTTGAGTTGGGCAACATCTTGGTGCAGATGATGATCATGCTATTAGGTTTGATGTTTTACTGGTTACAGAAATCTGGATTAAATAAATTTTGGTTACAGGTTTCAAAAAGCAATGGGATGAAACAATAATTATCTATTGTGGATTAGGCAAGTGGATTGATTGGAGATGCTGACCAAATGTTGAAAATGTTTTAATATATTAAAGACAGATATGTTGCTTGCAGAAAAGTAAAACAGGTTAGCTGACAAAATGAAAAAGCTGAAGAACAGCATTATAAATTTAAGAAGTTTAAGTTGATGGGTAACTAATAAAAAAAACAAAAATGTTGCTCAAACAGTAAATTAGGAAATCAAAAAGGGTTAACGAAAAATGGTTGGCTAAAAATGTAAAAATTAATAGCAAGGATTTCTTTAAATACATTACAAGTAAGTGAAATGATGGAATAGGAGTATGGCCTTTGAGCAGTTATAAAGGATGGCTCGTATTTGATAATTATGAGTTGGGTTATTAAATTCTACCTTTTCTTCCTATTTTCAAGATGAAAATTTTAAGCAACATTCCTCATCCTGTACAATTACAAGAAGAAAACATTAATTCTGAGCCTGTTAAAACAAAATTTGGAAGTTTGAAGAATGATAAAGCTCTTGGGCCAGATATTTCCCCCTAAGGATTTTGAAGGAGGTTAAGGAATAATGTGACCCACTTGCAATTATGTTTTATAAATCCATGAACACTAGGAATATGCCAAATAATTGGAAGTTAACTAATGTTACTTCTCTTTTCAAGGAGGTGATAAAAATAATCCTAGTAATTATAAGCCTTGCATCAAGGTGAGAAAAGTTTTTTGAAGATCTGATAACAGAAGCTTTGCAAAATTTGAAAGTTTGTTGGATTATCAACATGGTTTCAATAGGGGAAAATCTTGCCTTACTAATCTTTTGTGATAATTCGAAGAGTTTATTGTTTACATAGATGAGGATAAAGGTGTAGAATTGATGCATCTGGATATTCAGAAAGCATTTTACAAGACAGCACATAAAAAGCTTGTTAAAAAAATACCTAAAGGTGTAGGGAACAAGCCTGCTCATTGTTAATGTCAAAACTGGGGCACCTCACGGATCAGTGTCAGGACCTTTACTCTTTTTTTGGTTTATAAAAATGACCTAGATGAGGGAAAGGTCGGTCATAACTTAAACTCACTGATAATATTAAGGTTTTGGGTGTTGCCGACTGTGAGGATGATGCTGTTGCTTTACAAAAGGAGTTCAATTATTTCGCAAAGAAATTGCTTTTAATTATAATAGATGCAAAGTAATGCATGTGGGTTATCATAATTTGAATTATAAATTTGGTGGGAATAACCTTAACAGTATGATAGAAGAATAATATCTTGGTATTCTAGTTGATCAGTCTCCTGAGCCATCCAAGCAGTGTACTGTCACTAGTGGCAGGATAATTACGATGTTAGGTTGTACCTACATAAATATTGAATACAGGTGTAAGGAGGTTATAATGTCATTGTATAGGTCACTGGTTAGACCAGATTTGGAGTATTTAATATTTGAATGATAATGGCTGGCTTTGAGAGTGTGTATGTATATGTTATACTTGATTAAACAAAAGTTTATGTTACATTATTACTAACAATACTAGAAGGCTGTGGCTTCATTACTACACCTCATTAGAGTTTCATTAATTATCACTAACAACACTAGGAGGATGTGGCTCCATTACTACCCTTCATTAGAGTTTCATTAATTATCACTAACAATACTAGGAGGATGTGGCTTCATTACTACCCTTCATTAGAGTTTCATTAATTATCGCTGACAACACTAGGAGGATGTGGCTCCATTACTACCCTTCATTAGTTTCATTAATTATCACTAACAATACTAGAAGGCTGTGGCTCCATTACTACACTTCATTAGAGTTTCATTAATTATCACTAACAATACTAGGAGGCTGTGGCTCCATTACTATTCAGTTTCATCAGATACAGCCTCCTAGTATTGTTAGTGATAACTAATGAAACTAGTTAATCAAGTGTAGTAATGGAGCCACAGCCTCTCAGTATTGTTAGTGATAATTAATGAAACTCGAGTTTAATCAAGTTAACTATACTGTTTCTTTCTTCTGTTTTTATGATTAACTCAAGAGAAACTACATGATGTGACAATTCAGTAAATATCCCCCAATAATTGTGACTAACTAAAGTGAATGTTTTTACAGAAGAAAGAGGTTTATCAATTGTAATATCTGATAGAGGGGAAATGCTAAACAATGTTGTGAAGGATGGTAGATGATGTGATTAACCAGAACTGTCTGTTCACTGTGGCTTTCACAGAAAGATTTATGAATACGGGTAGTCAAGATCATGATATAAAAAGTTTGTTTAATTTGATTAATTAACAAATATCTTCCATGTAACATAATGAAATGATCCGGTTATAATGATTTATAAAACATGTCATAATTTAAGATGGATCTGTTCCACTCACTGCTTGAATTATTGTAGATTCTTCAGGAAATAAAAGTGACTCATTTCTTGTGGTCTATACTTCTGACATTTGTAATTCCAATACTAAACATAGGATGCTGTGTGAGAAACACATAAAACTTTCACGTGATTTCCTCATTACTTCATATTCTGAGGTTTATCAAAAAAACGTAATTCAGTCACTTTACTTTTTTGATGTGTTGAGCTGTGTAACACCATGCTACATTATAGTACAGTCACTAGTTAATTATTCTGTGTAATACCATGCACATTATAGTACAGTCACTAGTTAATTATTCTGTGTAATACCATGCCACATTATAGTACAGTCACTAGTTAATTATTCTGTGTAACACTATGCCACATTATAGTACAGTCACTAGTTAATTATTCTGTGTAATACCATGCCACATTACAGTACAGCCACTAGTTAATTATGTAAACACACATTAAAAAGTTACTTATTTGTTAGGTTTGTTTGTTTGTAATTAAGCACAAAGCTACACAATGGGCTATCTGTGCTCTGCCCACCACGGGTATTGAAACCTGGATTCTAGTGTTGTAAGTCCGCCGACATACCACTGTGCCACTGGGGGCTATTTGTTAGGATTTAAGAATTAAAAAATTTTGCACATTATGTTGCAGTGATTAGTTTACATAATGAAAGTTATTAATTCATAACACTTAAGCCTTGTTTATCAACTAAATTACTGCACAGAATTGTAATATAATGGCTAAAGTTATTAATTCATTAATAATAGTATAATGGCTTTAATTTCAGTTTTTTGGTGGAAAGTTCCAGAAGGTAGTGATTCAATCATGAAAATTCCTTAATTTCTAGCAGTTACTTGAAGATAGTAACTTTCACCTCTGGTCACATTTTTTTAAACAATATCTATGTTACAAGAAGTATGCTTTTTTAACTGTTTATTAAACAAACAAATCTATTCCTTGATGTGATAATTTTTACAATTATCTGGAAAAACCTAAAAAGTTCAATCATACAAGTTTAACTTTTAGTTGATCTTCTTCTTGAAGAAGGATTGTATGTTTTTCATTCCTGTCTTATCTGCCTTCATCAATCGTTTCTGTGAAGTTGTTAACTTAGATTCCTGAAATAAGAAAGCAATACAATAAAAGCAATATTGGATACCTGCTATCTACATTTCGCAATATTAAAAGAATGAAGTTAGCTAGTTCCAGAAAGTCTGAAACAATTACTTTTAGCACTTTTTAAAGGATATTATTAACTGCACAATATTCTTATTGATGTTTCTCAAACAAAAAAAAATCTGCTAGTGGCAGAAGTGGGACCAGCAAGTATCATCACAATAAAATATTTGCTCAAACAAATTAATTTCTGAAGCTTAAAAATTACTATATATCATTTTCTTTTTTCAAGTTTATAGACATTTATAGCAAATTCCTATAAGGTATATTTGTTTCAGTCAGAATTTATTAAAACTAACATTATTTGCGACTAAACAAACCTTGGTCTTTGTCTTGCTTTCTAAAGTCACAGCCACACTGTAATCTTCTTCAGGTTCTACAGCATCATTCAGTTTAGCACGCTAAAATTCAAACAAAGAAGTTAATCAGAATAAGACTATGACCAATAGAATAACAGTTATTACCAGAATATTAAACACACTATACAAACTAACCTTCTGTGGTGGCTCTTCTGTTGAACATGCTGAGCTTTCTTCAGCCTTATTAGTCTCCAAGCTGAAAATAAAGGAAGCTAAAGATAGAAGTATAGAACCAAAACTTCACATGCCTAAACTGAAATTAAGGAAGTATAGAGCTAAAAACTTGATACCTATAAGCTAAAGACAGAAGTATAGAACCAAAAGTTCACATGCTTAAACTGAAATTAAGGAAGTCTAGAGCTAAAACCTGGACACGTATAATATGGAAACAAAAAGTTTAGAACTAAAATCTTGACACTGTATGGTGGAGGGGAGGTACAGGAATAAGAACTTGACATCTGAATATCAATCAAATGTAGTTTCAGTAAAAATAACACATATAACCTTGTACAATACAGTTAATAAACAGGCAAACTACAGTATTAGGTAGATAGACAGACAATCTTGTTTACTACAGGTAATAAATACACTATCAAATATGGCTTCAGTAAAACTAACACATACATACATAACAGTTTCAACACGCACGATCAATGAATACAGAACTTACCCTAAATGAGACTTGAGTTCAAGGCCAAGATCTTCAGAGAGGTACTCAGTAAGTAGTTCATATACATACTGAAGGTACATTTCTGAAAACAGAATTAACAAAGGACTATCATCAGTAAATATGATTCATAAGGAAAGTATTCAGTAAATCCATAAAATTTAAGAAAAATCAAGAACCTGTTGGTCCATCTAGGCCATCTCATACAGAAAAGCAAACTTAAAAGAACAAAAAGGAATTAAAGCCAGCCCTTATCATTCACATATTTATCAAACCTTCCTTTTAACTTACTGTCTCCACCAAATCTGGAGACAACACATTCTAAAGACCAACTACCCTGTTAGCAAATAAAACTGTCTAAGCTGAAGATGACTCCTACCCTCCCAAAATTTATAACTGTCACCCTAGTCCTAACACCATTAACTACAAGAATAATCCTTTAATAATCTTAAACACTTCAATCAGATTCCCTCTAACTCTTTCTTATCGTTTCCAAGAGAAAACAATTTCACAGAACTTAATCTGTCCCCATATGATAGCATTTCCATCCCACGTATCATCCTAGCAACTTCTCCAAACCATTTCCAACAATTCAATGTCCTTCCTAAGGTAAGGAGCTCAAAACTGAAAATTATACTCCAAATCTGGTCTAACCACTGACCTGTACAATGATAGTATAACCTCTTTACAATTGTATTCAATATTTATGTAGATACAATCTAAAGATCATAATTATCCTACCACTAGTGACAATACACTGCTTGGATGGCTTAAGAAACTGACCAACCAGAAAACCAAGATCCTTTTCTTCCATCATACTGTTTAGGATATTCCCAACATAATTATATATTTATAATTCAAATTATGATACCCCATATACATTACTTTGCATTTATTATAATTAAAGGCCATCTGCTTATTATTTACACAACTCACCAAATTATTTAAATCCTTTTATAAATCAGCATCATCATCCTCGTGACCAGAAACACCCAAGACTTTAGTATCACAACCTAAAAATCAGATTACTTATCAACTTCTGGCTAGAACATAGTTCACACGACCTTCTAAATCATGTACATGATTCATGACAGATATCATATTGGTAATCAATGTCTATAACATAGCTCACTGGACCTGCTAAGTCATGTACATGATTCATGACAGATATCATATTGGTAATCAATGTCTATAACATAGCTCACACGACCTTCTAAATCATGTACATGATTCATGACAGATATATTGGTAATCAATGTCTATAACATAGCTCACAGGACCTGCTAAATCATGTACATGATTCATGACAGATATCATATTAGTAATCCAGGTCCATAACATAGCTCACTGGACCTGCTAAGTCATGTACATGATTCATGACAGATATCATATTGGTAATCTATGTCTATAACATAGCTCACTGGACCTGCTAAGTCATGTACATGATTCATGACAGATATCAGATTGGTAATCAAGGTCTGGCT